CCAAACCTCGGCGCTGCGGGGACAACCCAGCAGCACCCCAGCTGCTCTGTCCCAGGTGTACCCAAGTCAGCTGCTGCTGAAACTGACCAGCTGCTGATTCCAGGAAGCTGGGGCAGAGCAGCTCTGTCTCGGGCTTCCTGGAGTCAGCTGCTGGTCAATTTCAGCAGCGGCTGAATCCGGGACAGCTGGGGTTCTGCTGGGTTGGTCCCGCAGCCCCGAGGGGCAGCGCTACTGGACCTACCCGGCAGCACTCCAGCTGTTCTGCCCCCTGCTTCCCGGATTCAGCGCTGGTCAGTTTTAGCAGCAGCTGAATCGGGGAAGCTGGGGGCAGAGCAGCACCAATGGTCCGGCTGCCAGGAGCACTTCCGGGTTCCTGATGGTGCTGGACCATCAGGAGTGCCGGACCGTCAGATGCCGGACCATCGGAGTTTTACTGTAGTTGTAATCTCTGCATGAGATGTCCAGAAAAATTACATCGCAGTCTCAAGTTTTGTGGCCACAGTTTTCTTTTTGTAGTAGGGAAGGAAGTATCCCCGTTCGGCCAATGGGGTGGCATGGGCCCACAGGCTAATGATAAAGTGGCTTACCGGAGGCTGCACAGAGTCTGACAGAGTGGAGGTTACTGGTTGTCAGTACCATACCCCAGCTGAGTAGACAACGGTAATTTCTCTTGGAGTCCTTGTTTAAACATGAAAATTTGTGAGAGTTTAGCTAATAGATTTGGTTGAATTCATGAGAACCACTGTGTGGGAACATTCAGTTTAAACTACGCTTATTTTGATTTAATCTAAAGCAGTGTTTCTATGCCTTTTGTGCTGGCAACCCCCTTTAGACTTAACGAATGCAACCTCCGACCCTCAATACCATTAAGTAAATTATAAATAATACTCCGTGTAAGAAGAGGAAAGCTCTAAACGTGAATTCAGAATGAATGTAATCTGTTTTAAATAAGCTCCTTGGTGTAGCCAAGAGGGGTGTGACACTAAAGTCTGACCTGACTAAATGACACTAAGGCCAAAAAGCCAAAACAGGTTTCAGACACCGCATAATTTAGGTACAAAATAAATACAGTTCTGTTGAGAGACACTTATTGTGAGATTTGTCATTGTAGAATATAAACCAGTGCGTCTCGGTCTTTCCACGCTGGGAGCCCAAGCTACAAAGCTTAGGGCCCATTCAATTTTGCTGTTAACAGGAACTCCATATAATAAGGAATGGGCTCCAATTCTCTAGGAATTTTTCAGTGCAGAAATACATAGCACCAACTTATGTATCCCAGTCACATTTATCTAAGCAATAAATACATCCCTGTTAGAACTGAAGTTCTCAGCTGGGAGCCTGGGCTTGGAAGACCAGGGGGTCTGCAACTTGGCTTTCTGGAGGAAACTGATTCATGGGGCTGATGTGGAAGTTGTGGGCTCCAGGTTGCCCATAGGCCCTTCTGTAAACATTTGCTTGGGTTAGAAATTTGTTTACTTAAAGCGTAAAGCTTTAAGCTGAGATCCTAAATAGTGTAGTGATAGACACATTAGTAAGTGCCTTGATGGACAGATTACATAATTGAGCTACCTTGGGCCTAATCAGAGTTAAGTTAATTAATTTGACATAAATGTACTATTGTTACATAACACTTGAGTAATGGCTGCTGTCCAGTGGCAGTGACAAGAGACACTAACACCAAAGCTATCTTCATTGACCAAGGGTGTTTTTACAGTGGGATAACTAACAGAGGTCAGCTATCTTGTTACAAAAACATACTAGAAATAGAGCAGTTGAGTGTTACTGCTAGGTAAACTAAGCAAGGTCAGTCAAGGGGGTAGTGGGGGGAGGAGTATAGTATAGTTCTCATCTTGCCTAGCTATACAAATACTATAACTGCCTTGTTTTCCAACAAGATAAGTAGTGTTTTGTTGTAAACCACTTGTACAGTGGGGGGTAGGGAGGAGCCAGAATGTCATTTAGAAATGTATAGCTATCTTGGAAAGGCAATCAAACAATCAGCTGTTACTTTCTAACCTAAAGTTAGCTGGTGTTCAGGTTTTTTTAAAACTCCTTCCTCCGTAGACTGCAGCAATGATGAGTTTACTGTATGGAAGGATGTTGAAGCTGCTATCGTGCTTTCTCATTAGTTTAGATTTGGCTTGCTTTGTGTGGATTCATAACCTGGCGTGGTAGCTCTTGGTATTTGGAAAAAAAAATACAATTTCTGGTGTGTGACTTCGAGAATATACAGGTTGTACCTCCCTAAACGAGGACTCTCTTTGATCCGGCAACATCCATGGTCTGGCAGCGGGGCTGCTGGCAGCTGTAGAACTCTAACCACGGCTGGGCAAGTGGCAGGGAGGCTAGGGCTGGAGCCAGAGGGCAGGGGGGTTAGGCCCAGAGAGCAGTAGGAGGCAGGGCGGGATAGAAGGCCAGTAGCAGGGGACCTTCCCTCGTCCAGAAAATCCCCAGTCCCAAGAGTGACAGACCAGGGATGTCTAACTTATGTATCCTATTAACCATGTGCTGGGCTAGGCAGAACTCCAGTTAAGTTTATGCCATGCAGAATTAACCACTTTGCAGCCCTTTGAAATGCAGACTATCAGAGGGGGAATTAAATCTTCAACAGTTGGTTGTAGTGAGATGACATTTAAATTCTTGTTGCTTAGCCCCAAGTATTGAGAGAGATTGTACGTTTCTGTTATACTATCCTCTGCTTTTATCACTAGGTCTTGGTTTTTATTCTCTACTGGGAAGCAAATTAGCAACATACTGGGTATCATCTCTAGGCTGTCTTTTTCCTTTTAATTTTCCACTTTTGCTACCACTAGTGAAATTATGCCTTATAGCAAATGGAAACTTTTAGAGAAAAATGTAATGTGGACAGAACCAGAATGGTGATCAAATAAGTTCACTTTCTTTGGCTGACTTAAGTCATTTTTTGGAAGTAAATTGAAAGCAATTCCTCTTGGGTGCTGAAGCTTTAGGGGTTTGTCAGCAAAACCCACTTTTTAAAGCTCTTGACAGACCAAAAAAATAAATTTTCTTTAATCTTAACCAGTGCAAATTATTCCTGAAAACTCCATCATAATCTGCCTCCCCCAATACCATCAACTAGATCAGAGGCTTCTTACCAAGGCTGAATTGATCTTGAAAGTAGCTCCACCTTCATACTGCCTTGAAGGCAACTTATGTTGAACTAGAGGCAGAGAACACGTTTTCTCTGGATTTGTCAAAGACCGCAATATACTGGAAGCTGTGACCATTTAGTTTAGTTTATGGAACGGTTTTTCCGTCTCCAGTCAGTTTTCTCCATGAGGAAAGTAAGTGCAATCTCTCACTCTCTCTCCACAGAGTAACATCCATTGCAGATCGGCTGAATGTGGACTTTGCCCTCATTCACAAAGAGCGAAAGAAAGCCAATGAGGTGGACCGCATGGTGTTGGTGGGTGATGTGAAGGACAGAGTGGCCATTCTGGTAGATGACATGGCAGACACTTGTGGCACCATCTGTCATGCGGCAGACAAGTGAGTGAGAGGCTGGGTATGAACTGTACAGGATATAAACTTTGTACATTGTAAATAACAAAGAACAAAATGCCTGACAATGGGTTTTTGGGAAACAAGTGTTAGTTGCAGTGAGATGACATTTAATTTCTTGTTAATAAGCCCCAAGTAAGTACAACTGTAGCAGTTCACTTTTCAGGCCTCCATACAAATTTGCACTGGTTTTAAGTCTCCTTTAGTTTCCAAATGTATCTTTAAGTGTTTGCCATGCTACTGGCGGTCTAAATTCCGCAGGTGGAAGTACATCTTACCAAGGCTGTGGGTCTGGTCTTAAAGCCCAAGACTGTTTATATAGAAGCGCCCAATGATGTATTGAATTCATAAAACTGCTTCAACGTACATAATACCACAACTTGGCATTCCCCTTTATCTGAGACTGCTCCCTCCAACCGAATCCTTAACTGCTTGGGAAACGTCAAATGTAGCTACTTCCCATGTATTGTAGGGGCCCAACACCCACTCTTCTTCCACTGTCACCTGTTCAAAACGTGCCTTTTGACCCTTTCATATTTGTTCCCTTCTAGGCTTGTGTCAGCTGGAGCCACCAAAGTTTATGCCATCCTAACTCATGGGATCTTTTCTGGACCAGCCATTTCCCGGATCAACAATGCCTGCTTCGAGGCAGTTGTAGTCACAAACACAATACCACAAGAGGACAAGATGAAGCACTGCCCTAAAATCCAGGTGAGAGGCTACTTCGCTTTTGACTTGGGAGAAGGGGTGGATAGTACATTAGTCTGTCTGCTTGCATTTCTATTTGGGAAGGAGTATTGGGATGTAGTGCATATCCTCAGTCTTCTTAAAAGCGACCTACAAAGACAAAGGGCCAAACTCTTTTTCCCTTGTGTGGAGACTGCCTGAAAGGTCATCTGGAAAGCTTTTCTGCATTCTCTTTTAGAAATTGAGATCTTGACTAAACCTGTTCATGGCATCTGATATAAAGCAAGTAAAACCTGATTGAAAGGGATCTGATTTTTTTGGTTAGACCATGAACCACCGATTGGAAGAGAGAATCTTTAAGAGTCTAACACCCTGCATTGGCCCTTTCTGTAAGCACAGAATTTCTGATCCTCGTGTGTGCATCCTTTCAAGGAGACCTGTGACAAAACTTGGAAGGTTACTTGCGGGGGACGACGACCCTGAAAAAGCTTCTTACAGAAAAGGGAGCACATCCATTTTTGTCGTCCTCTTGCATCACCTGTATCATTTCATAGGGTTTACAGAATTTAATGCTCACAGCATTTTACAAACATTAATTAAAACAGATGGACTAGAATGTTGGCAAATACCTTGTATACCCTGCTGCATGTATTAGCACTAGGAGCAGTCAGGGTGACCCACATCAGGCCCATGAAGCAAAGACAAAGTTACTTGAGTCTTGCACTCATAGTGTAAGGATCTGGAGAATGCAGGTGTTTGCAAACTCTGTCATCTCTGTGTGGTGATCTCAGAACAATTTATGGACACCAACTAATGAATCTAATGCCCCGTGTGGTTGGCATTAATATTTTTTTACTGATGAGGGAAGTGAGGCAATGTTTGTTTGCCCCCAAGCTTATATAGCAACTCAGTGGCAGAGATAAGGTCAGCATTCAGTGCTTCTAATTGTCATGTTGTGAGCACTAGCATGTACCATTGGGTTGAAGTTACATTGACTAGCAGGCATTTTCAGAAGTTCCTTAGAAACTTTAAAATTTCTAATTAGTTCCTGTCGCACTTGCAAATTGCTATCAGTGGGAAAGTCTGAAAGTTCAGTTGCTTAACTCAACATCTAGTTGTGCCCATGGTTGAGCACTTACCAAAATAACTGTCCAGAGTAGTTATGCACACCCCCCCCCCCCGGGTTGCTCCCTCTTTCCACTTTCACAAGGCAGGGGGTTGTGGTGCAGGATGGAATAGGGGTGCTGACTATGAGAGGGGGCTAAGGGCTCAATCAGGTACTTGAGATGCAGAAGGGTTGAGAATGCAGGAGGTTGGGATGGGGTTTTGGGGTTCTGGCTCTGGGAGGAGGGTCAGGGTGGTGGTGCGGGGTAGTGGCTGTGGGAGGGGGCTCAGGGCTAAGGTTTGGGATGTGGGGTGCTGGCTCTGGGATGGGTATCTAGGGTGGGGTAGGAGTGCAGTGAGGAAGTGCTGATTCCAGAAAAGGACTGGGGGTTGCGGTGCAGGCTTCTGCAGGGCTGCACTTAACAGCGGAGGCTCCAGGTGAGCAGTGCAGCAAGGCCGAGGCAGGCTCCCTGCCCCACCCTAGCGCCCTGCACAGATACAAATATCTGCCTTCAGATAAACATCAGTATCCACTGATCCACAGGGCTCTGTTCCCAACAAACGCTACTGTCAAAGGAGAGGAACACTGTGCCACACTGCCCAGGAGCCAGTGCCCCACACTGGCAGCTTCTGGCAGCTGTGCGACTACTAGATAGGAGGTTTGGGAGGAGCTGCTGGCGCAGGGCACTGGCTCCTAGGAGTGGTAGGACCATGCTCCTCTTCCTTGGCCGCAGCGTCTCCAGGAACAGAGCCTTGCAATCACAGGGTACTGATGTCTGTTCAGGTTGACATTTTTATCTGTGCATGGCTTCGTGTGTTGCCCCCTCTGTTGGCACTGCACCCCTCAGCTCCCATTGGCCACAAGTTTCCAATTTCTGATCAATGGGAGCTGTGGGGGGTGGTACTTGCAGGCAGGAACAGTGTGCCAAGACTTCGCCCTTCCAGATTCCTGCATCTCCCCCCACACACAGGGCTAAGCTGGCTGCTCCTGGAAACAGACTTGGGGTTTGGGACTGGAGCAGGCAGGGAGCCTGACAAGTGTCAATCGCAACGAACTGGTCGACTCCCCAGGCTTAATCAGTCACTCACGATTGATTGGTTGGTGATCACTGTGCTGGTGGTATATTTGTAGTGGTGGGGCTGGTGCCTTGAGCTACTTTAAGGCTTTACATGGTTTTCAACTAGATGACTGATATTTTTCCCCCTACAGGTGATTGACATCTCAATGATCCTTGCAGAGGCCATCAGGCGGACTCATAATGGGGAATCGGTCTCCTACCTGTTCAGCCATGTTCCTTTATAACAGATGCTGGCTGCTGCTTGTGTGGCTTTTTCAAACCAAAAGTTGTTCAGCTAATTATAAAGTTCATTAGAAGACTCTGCTTGTTCCAGTGCAGCTCTCCATAGCTCCTCTTCTGCACACATCAGGCTGTCTGAGTCTGAGTCTGAGCCTAAGCCCAGTTCAGGGAGGGATGGGGTGGGGTGAGGAGCAAACATCTGTAATGCTCAAGCTCCTGCCAGTAGCATCCCACTGCAGTCTCCTCAGTAGTTTAAGCTTTCAGTAGAATTGAGTCAGCACTGCAGATCTGTGGAGAGCAGAACTGATGTGGTCAATTGCCACAACGTTCTTTTGGAAGGGAAATTTGTCTCTGGGGAGGTTAGACTAATTTGCATGCACGCCTGGATTTTTTTTGTATGGGAAGTAACTCACGAGCACATGCTTGCCTGGAACCACAGGAAGAGTCCAAGGGACTGCTGACCCACATCGCTTACTCCGTACGCGACAGAAGCCCTTAACAAGTTGCTATAAAAGTCTTGTCTGCTGACCGTGTTTCTGATGAGAAGTGAGGCACTACAGGGTGGGATGAGCAGTTTCCTCTTTCAGAAGGTGATTTAGGACCTGTGTTGTGCAGTGTGTTAAAACCCTGAATTCAGATTGTTCTACTGAGGAAACTTGTCCTCTAATTTCCCCTTTTTTGCCACTCCGTTAGTGAGTCTAGCCTTCCTGACCCTTCACTGATATGGACGTTTCTTGGGCATGCATCTGCAGAGTAGATTAACATGGGCTGATGTGTTTACTTCCTATTAGAAGTTTTTATTTCCATGCATTTTAGCCTGTTCCGTTACGAAGTTTCTGATGTATTTTGTTCTGGTTGCAGTATTTGCACCCACCTTTGCTCTTTAATGTGGCCAATATCACAGTTGGCCACCTCTGCAATATTCTCTTTTCCCCCCTCAAGGAATCTTGGGAATGTTAATGGAGGAAGAGAGACTTTAGAGGCCTTAGGAAGGGCTAATGATGGCTGAGTCAGCCAGCTGTTCTTCATGTAAGGCACTCAGTGATAGGTCAGGCAGAGACTTGTGCCCTCTGTATCTGTTGTTGACACTTTCGCAATGTCACACTTAACCCCAGGCAGTAACTTTCCTAATGCAGGAAGGGAAGAAACAGTCAAGCTGTCTCAGTGCTCCTGCCTGTAGAATAGGCATAATCCAAAACTTGAATGCATGGTAGTTGCACCATCCCACGATAAGCAGTTTAAACCAGTCTTTCCTGGACTCTTACGGGGTAGCAGACCAAGCTGGTTCTTGTATGCATTCTGCTTTTATAAACAGTCTTGTGTATCTTTGGAGATAGGGAAGGAAGTTATTCGGAGTCACTTGTATCTACAGCCAGTGTCAGTCGAGGGATTTAATGGGTGAGAGATAAGCATCGCTACCTGGAAAAATCTGGCTGTCTAGGTTTGGAGTGGTCCTTTTAGTTGTTAGTATTGTGCCTTTTTAAGTAAGACTCTCTTCCTCTTCCCCCCGCCCCCCGATTACTGTCTTGCAGCAACTTAAAACCCTGCACTGTAAGAAGTGTTTCTTTTGTATAAGAAGTTGGTATTTGTCTGGAAAGCGTGTATGTTTGCTTCCTTGCCTTGCTTCCTGCATTGAGCTAGACTGAGGATCTGTCCAGGACTTCTGCCTCCTACTTCAAAGCTCCTGCTAGTTCACTGCCAACACATTGTGATCAAAAGCCAAGAGCAAGGACATCAAAGCAGTGTGAAGACTTTCAGCCGCATTTCTGGTAAACTAAGACCTCAATGAAGAAATTAAACTTTTATTTAAAAAATAATTACATAGACATTTTTGTAATTTGTAAATGCTTTTAAAACATGCATGGCATTTTTGAGACTCCGTGTGTGCTGTTACTGTGAACTTGTGCAGCCATAAGATGGTGGAAGACAGAAGAACATACAGCTTCTTTGTACTAGCAATATACCACTTGCGTGGAAGAAACTTTAAACCCCTGGTACCTTTGCTAGAGGATGTAATAGTCTTGTGTCAGAGACTTCTGATCTTCTCCAATTCAGAAGACATGGTAGTTCAGCTAGTTAAGGGTGCCAGTGCAGTTTTGGTTCTTTGCATTCAGTTCCCATCGTGGTATCTGAGCACCTGTTCTGTCCACATACCGATCAGCTGGGCAATGACATTAATGGAATTAAAATAAGTGACTTTAAAATTGTTCGCTAGCTCCTTGTAAGGTTGTTTGCGTCTCACGTTTCATTGGAAGGAGATGATGTTACAGGTAAGTTGCATGACTGTCATAGTAGTGATGTGCAGAACCTTTCTGTGGGGCACAAGCATTGATTCACATGGAAAATGTTAAGGGGGCAGTTAGGAGAATCCAAGAGCTACCTGAGTTGTATTACCTGCTCCCTAAATCGGTAAGTAGGATATAGGGATACTAATGTTAATGCCATTTATTTCAGTATTTTGGATGTTTTCTATATTTTCATGTCTGGGCACCAGCCCCCCTCTGGATGCAAGGCTCCAGCCACCCTGCTGCCAGTGCCTCCCTCCCTGCTGAGAGAGAAGCAATTAACATGTTTAACTGAAAACAAAATTAGTTTCACAGGCATTAACTGCGATTGACAGCCCTAGTTAAAAATATAGCGGGGGATGTTGCTTGGATGAGGGTGGGCCTTGACTGGATCAGAGCCGTATACATCAGAGATGCATACTGAGAGCAATTAGATATGATAGACGAGAGTCCTAATTGCTTTCTGGGGTTTCTCTGTCCGAATGGTAAAGATAATAGATACCTAGTGTCCAAGGACATTTCTCTTGCCATGCCTTTAAAATAGGGGTTGCTGATTTTGACTTGCTGAAGCCCAAACCCCACCACCCAGGTCCAAAGCTGAAGCCAAGGACTTCAGCCCTGGGCTACAGAGCTCAGGTTACCGGCTACCTGGAGCTGAAGCCCTTGAATTTTGACTCTGGTCCCACAGGCTTGGGCTTCCTGGGGTCATGTAGTAATTGTTGTCAGAAGGGACTTGCAGTGCAGCTCCCCACCCCCGCTTTAAGGGGAAGAGCTGCTTCTGAGTGACTAGACTTTAGCAGACAGATTTCTAAGGGCGTGTCTGCACAGCACACTAAACTCGAAATAAGATACGCGATTTGTGCCACACAACTTGTGTGTCTTATTTCAATTGTATTTCGAAATAGCTTATTTTGAAGTTTGGCACATCTACACAGCGCCCAATTTCGAAATAACATGCTATTGCAAGACCTCCCTTAATCGTGGAACAACAATTACAGGGATGCCATAATAGCGCACCTGCTATTTTGGAAAATATTCCAAAATAACGGGTGTGTTGAAAAGATGCAGGGTAGCTATTTCAGATAGCCCCGCTATCTAGACATAAGTGAATTGCATACCACATACTGTCTTTTACTGAACAGCATTGGCCTTCCATGGCTTTCCCCTACAGTTCCTGGAACATCTTGTTGCAAACGGATGCCTTTTGGAAGGTGACATTATACAAGTCCATAGAGCCTGAAACTTGTAATTCTTCACTCCCTATTATCCCCTGTACTCTGGAATAATGGGGTAGGTAATGCACTCAGCAGCAGTTGAGAAATGCTTGTAATTAGGCAGTGCTAAACACCCATTCTCGCAACCCTGTATGAGCCAGGATGTGACCTCTCTGAGTAATTGGATTTTTGCAGAATGATGCAAACCTCAAGCTGTCTACACAAGTAGTGCAATTTGCTACTTGTCGTCTTTTTTGGTAGGATTGCTGATTTGTTCGAACACCAGCTGCTTTTCCTGGACTCTAGTTTCTCAAAGTGACTGACTGAAATTCCACAGAATGACTTCAGCCTCCAGGAAAGGGGAAATTGTTATGTAAGATCAACGAAAGCCTACAGATTTTTCACCGAGTACATAGAGCAAGTCAAAGGAAATAAGCTCTCGCCAAACTCTAATGCATGTGAAAGCTTGGCCTTCTGTAAAAGCTGTCTTTGAGGCAATTCAGTCCCTACTGGTGGAAGGTTTTTCCTCCTTACTTTTGTACTGTATTATCTGACATCAGCTTGCAAGTTTGACCGTATTTCTTCTCTACCCAGCATGTGGAGAAAGTGGAATATCTGAAGTGGTTGGTTTGCGTGCCATTCCTTCTCACCGGCCCAGCATTCCCTATAGTAATTCCCTTCTTTCATTTGAAAAAGTGTTCTGGTCTGTGTACAGAAGACAAGAAAGCACAATCCCATGTCTTGATTACATGTGGAGAAATCCTGTTCTGAGTGTTCCTGGAAACTACCATTCGCGGGCTTTCTGAGCCCTGACAAACTCTTGACACTTGAATCTCATTTATTAATGAGTCGCAGTTGTTCTTTGCTCATTTCAGAGCCAGGTTGTCTCCAATTTTTTTTCTTGACTGTATCTTGCATCCGTCGCTGTAAATTAGCATCAGAAATGAACTGTGAAGCCGAGAATCTAGAATCTTTGTGAAGAAAACAGAAATGCTGTCTCTTCAAACAATTGTCCTGTTTTTGTCCAGACACAAAGTGATTAAACCCCACTCACAGAGAAAGCTTGATTGGTAAACAATTTCAAGGGCTAGTTTTAAAGCTTTTTGTATTACAGGTTAAACCGCTAGTCCAGCATTCTCAGGACTTGACTAGTGCCAAACCAGAGACATTTCCCAATCCATAGGAGGTCGATATTGTCTAGAGGCATTACCAACACTTCCATTGCTTACTGAGACCTGAGAAGATATTTAGGAGTAAATGAGTTAAACAACAGCACAGGACACTGAGAGCCAGGACTGGTAGCTGTAGACAAACTTTATGGCACTGTGGGAAATGTGGCCACGCCCATACGTGGACATGCATCTAGCTAAAATCATGCTGTACCATGGATGTTGCCAGGCAACCTTTCCCCTTGTCTTTTATGTGCTTTGTTAGAAAGGGGGGTGTCTCAAGATCTGAAGTGGTATAAATTGACGCATGCAGAGTGTAGTGCTAGGTCCCTGCAGCCCTGAAACTGAACAAAGGCATTACAATCAGGATTTCCATGCTGTGCCCCAACCTCATCCCTGAGCAGCCGCTGGCCACCTGTGCTCCAGTATCCTTAATGTGCTGAGATCCTGCAGCTACTCGTGCTGATGCCTTGGTCCCTAAAACAGTCTAGTAGAGATGTACGGTAATATGTCCCTGGCTAATGCTGATGTTGTATTCCTGAGTAGCAGCAGGGGCAGCCAATGAGATTGTGGCAGGGTGGTGTCTGTGTTAAAAGGATGTGGTAAGCTAGTCTGTTTCTCCGGAGCTGCAAATGCCACAAAATAAAGCTCATTCACCATCTGCAAAGGAGAATGAATTTGAGAGCGAGGGAGGCGTGGGAATAGCATTGTGTGGGGAAAACAGAAGCAGCTCGAGGATAAATACAAGGTAATGAATTGGTACAGGATTTCTAAAAGGGGGATTCTGCCTCCTTTTGGTTTAATAATGTTTGGGTTTTGTAATTTCTTAAAGAACTTACATCCCCTTTAATCTCTTTCTATACAAACCTAGGGATGGTCTGAAGTAACCTTATCAGTCCTTGATTTTTGATTGGTGCAGTTTTCTGATTTAGTGTCTAAAGCTCTTTGGGTGTGTTTATGCTTTCCTGCCCCCAAATCAAGCCTTTTGCGCAACAGTCGGGCGAGAATATTCAATCTGAAATTCTCAGAGAAAAGGAAACACAGCCTCTCCCAGCCTTTGATGACATTTGCTTGAGGTGAATAATTTTGTGTCCAGTGTAGATTAACTGTTTCTTATCCAGTCATTTGTGAAAGTGGTGTCAGGCTGTAAGGCACCACCACAATTGCTGTAGCGGATTTAGCTACACAAGGGAATTTAATTCACAACAAAAGACGAGGCATGGAGCACTGTTCATCACCAACAAATGACTGAGTTCCCCTTCTTTCGTGCCGATTTCTCCCCTGGGCTCATTCTGCGATCACTAGTGGCCTCTGAAACGGCTGAGTTGCTGATGGCGTTGTATGGGGCCCCTGTTCATTGTCTGGCATTGAGTGCAAATCAGATTCTCACCATTTATAAATAGTGTGTAATTTGCGTGCACGCGCGCACACCTTGCAGATCAGAGTCAACTTATTGCCCTAGTCAAAATCTACTTGCTCTTTGCATCATCAGATAAAACATGTCCACCTCTGCCGATAGTGTTTGTGGGCTAGGCAGTGTCAACACACGGTTTTATTTGCTGGCTATGGTACAGCCCGTGGTAATTAGCCAATGGGCCTTGTGCCCTGGAGGCCCAGCTAATTGGCAGGGTCCTTGGAAGAATAAACACCCCTCTGCCTACAGGGGAGCAGCTTTGGGGCACAGGGACTGGCCCTGACATACTGCCAGAGAGCAGGCTCAGGATATGGGGGGGGGGGGGCTGGCATTTCTCTGCCTGGTGCTCCTGTGGGGGAGCAGGGGAAGCTGCCATGCCTCCATCTTGCACAGCAAAAGATGCACAGAGTGGGACAGGGCAAGCCCTGTGCCCCTACCTTGCTCTCTGATAAGAGTGCTGGGGGAGGACTGCAGGTGGAAGGAATGGGGGAGGGGGCCCCCCAGCTCTGCCCCAGGGCCTCACAAACCCCTAATCCACCTTGGTATAGCCTGTGACGTGCTCGTTTTCTGGACAAGGGACCGTTCCACAGTTTGAAGACAGACCAATGGGGGCTGGAGAACAAACGCAGGGATTTCATATCGAGGTTCCCAAGATTCCTAGGCTGCAAGACGGAAGTGGGGCTCTGAAGAGGGACTTCGATGGGAACTGGGCATGGACCTTTTGGACAAATTCAAGGAGGTTGGTTGCCCCATCCCTAGGGGCCTTGAGGAGGGAAGGAAGAGATGCCCAAACCTTCAAAAGGATTTAGGAGCCTAATGAAGCTGTAGGGTTAAAATACCCACTAAAATTCCTAAAGGAAAAAGTACAGTTGCTCCCTAGCAATGTTCCTTGTAAGCTGAGCGCTTGGGCAGCTGCCCAGGACACAGTCAAATGCTGCCCAGTTGACTAGCAGAGCACCCACTGCTGGTAGCACGTGTTTCTACTGCTGGTGCACATCGGCACATAACACAAATTATTCTGCACATGGATGGAAACAATTGGAAGGAGTGTGTGTGTAATGTGGAGGGTGAGAGAGATGCTGAGGAGGAGGAAGCAGCAGGACTCGGATAGGACCAAGATGTGTAAGGAAAGGGAGGCCTACGGGGGATGGTGGGGAAGATACCTGTAACAGATGAGATTTAGGGGAGGTGGACTGAGGGAAAATCGGGAGTTTGGCTTTGTGCTGTTTCCATCAGGAGATGGCTGAGAGTGGCTGGGAGAAGAAAAGTTCCTATCCTGAAGAATGTACAATCAGAAAAGCACCTTCTGTGGTGGCCAGACAGGTAACAGAGAAGTGGGGACTGTAAATACAAAACAGAGACGAGGGTTTCACTACCATAGGTCAGTGCTTTCTTGCCAGACAGGATGCTATCGAACTGCCTTTTCTTTAAGCATCTAACGATCTGTTCTGTTATGTGCTCTCCCGTTCGGATGGGATCTTCTTACCAGCCTGATACTACGTTGTTTGAATGTCACTGAGAGGGAA